ATATATTTTATATTTGTTAATATAAATTAGTTGAACCTATTTGTGCCATATCAGATCCGTATTAATTATAATATGTAATAATGCTTAAACTTATCTAGGTAAGCTGTTATTTACTACATGTATATACGTGTTTTATATAATATAATTTATACTTAAGTTCATTATTTTAAATAGAAATTAGACACATGGTAAGAATAAAATTTGTTATATAAACAAGAGTTAGTTTATTAGTAAAATTAATATTTTTTGTAAGTTAATTGTCTTAACAATATTACAATAATGTTTGTCAAAGTAATTGTGTTATGCGTTGCAATTCAATCCATTGCTGCCTATAGGCTGGACAACAGGTTAAATACCGATAGTAACAATGTTGATCATGCTGCATTGGGCGGTGTTGAAATAACCGAAGCGGTAAATTACATTTACATCAATTTAGATTAATATTTAAATTATTAATATTGATTATTATTAAATTTATTTTTAAATGATGTATACTCATGATAATTTTCAAAAGGGTAAACACATTCTAGCCAGAATCAACGAAGCCAGGGCCGCAAAATACAGTAATTTAAGAGTGGTTAACATGGATCAAGACGAAGCGGTTAAACAAGTCGATGAAATCATTGGAATTTTTATGAAAAACACAGAGAATTTTGAAAATCAACCATGTTTAAAGATTGAAGAAAATTTGATGGGACGTACAATCACTAACAATTGTTATGCAGTGGCCGCTGGAAATATAGTGTTCGCGATCGCCGGCAAACACGAGGTGACAATCGGCGAGAAGGCATTCATGTTAACCGATTCCATAGTTGAAGTAGAGATTAAGTACGAGTTCTTTTTGGGTCCCCTGTATTTTGGTGTCTACACCACCAAACCTTAAATCGAGGTTTGACTGTATTTTGTTTTAAATTAATAAACTAATTGTATAAAATTTTTATTTTATTTGTATAATTAAATAGCTGTTTAGTTTATTAAAACTAATTAATGTTCGACAAATTTGTTTTAATGTTATTTTGTTTTGGCTTTAAGTTTTATATTCAATGTACTGTATCTAGATACCATGCTATTATTTAACCATGTATCATGTTAATATCATAATTTAATACAATAGTGATCAAATAAATTCTATTAAGCAATTAAATTAGTCAATATTTTAACTCTCCTCAATAGCTCATTTATTACAAACATCTTAACCAAATAAAGACTATAACAATTATTTAATGTACCACACAGTTTTTAATTATTTGCTATAATTGTGAACAAATGTCGAATATATTAGACTAATTTTAAGTTTATTACAAATGTAAGTAATTGGTTAAATCAAATGCTAATACTAAAGATAATAACTATGATAATGAGCTGTAAATAATAACGATTATAACATAGTACCTATTCGCAATCTATCTGCTAAGGTTAATTGGACAAAAATTTACGATAACATATTTGTTGCATCGAGTTTTGATATTTTATGTTTTAGTATTAAGAACTGTCACTATTGATAATAATTGTAACATGTTAATTATTCGTAATCTATCTATTTAAATTAGTTGACAATCAACTAAAAGAAGAACTATATTTACATATGTATAGAATTGAGTTTAATTATTAATTAATAAATAACAATATAAATTAAATGTTTTTATTATTTTGTTTGATAAAACATTTTCATTTAATAACAAATAAATAGAAGAGTCTTACATAATATGTAATACATATTACAAATTTTTTGTTTTAAAAAATTATAATTGTAATTCATCGTAATAAATACACTTACTTAGAGAAATTGCTATTTAGCATGATGCTTAAACATGTACCACGAATTTTATAATTAATATTTTTGATAAATTTATTTATTGATGTAAGAATAAAGTCACTGTAATTAAAAACAGTTTGGTAATCAATTTAACGTGTCCAATGTTACATTTTTAATATTTTTGCATCTTCCTTTATTCCTGATAAATTTATTGTTTAACTCTAAAGTTTTTATCAAATTATATTTTTATCCTGATCATTTTATAAAAATAATAAATAATTAATTAATACTATCTTAATTTAAAATCTTAATAATTAATTAATATTATCTTAATATAAAATAAATATGATTTCTTATGTCCAAGTACAATATGGTTGAGAATTATATTAGTTTATTCAATGTTGAGCTTTATTCTAGATTAATAAAAATGTTTAAAATATAACAAATATACAAATTATTAAAGCAATGTAAAGTGATTAGATACTATTTTTAGTATATGCCCATGTTTAATATACGAGCTGAGAAATGTCAATTTTTATGATTAAGATTATTGTTGAGCCAGATCCAATTATTGCGAGTGCAAGGTGCGATGTTCATTTAAAGCGTTGACAATCTTTTCTTTTACCTTTTTATTTTTCAAGATTTTCATCAGCAACCTTTTTAAATGCCGAGTTTTCAGATTTAGTAAAAAACTCCTAGATAATTTATTAAAAATAACAATATAATATTAACACAATATAAAAATAACAAATTTAATCATACCTTGATCCATTCAAACGAATATTTAGAACCAGGGTTGATGGCAGATACTGCATATTTTGTGAATCATTCGTATTTAATTTCATTATTGCAGTAAGGTAAATTGGCTTCATAAATTTTATTGTTAATTAAATAATTAACAATAAGTTTGAATCCACACAAACTCTTGTAATTTAACAAAATTTTGTAAAAAATTTTGTCAAATTATAATAATTTAATTAAATTAATTGTATTTATATACTGGTAGGCGTAAAATCAATAGTTCCTGGTTGAAATAAAAGTATTACAATAATCTATGAGTCAAAAACATTCTTCTCGGGCACTTTGTATAACAACTTTATATTATAATATGCGTAAGTAAAACGTTTACGCTATTTATATGCATTGTAACCATTATGTTTAATATTGATGCAGTGATTAGTTACTATGGTAATCCATATACGTAAAAAACTTGTTTTTAGTTTGTTTAACTTTTTATTCTTAACAATAAGCTCACTATAATACATTTCATTCATGATTTTATTAAATGATTAAATTAAAAATTACTATTATGTTAATTTTAAACATGTAAAGTGATCTGGTAAGCACCGGTCGGTCACTGCATAGGTATTGTATTGTTGTGTGAAATGTAATGGACAGACAAGTAGTCGGCGTTTATGTCGACAAACACCTGAGTTATAACATTAATAAAAGTTATTATTTAAATAAATATTACAAAATAGTTTATCATAATAAATTTACAAAAATATTTAATTTATTAGTCTATAGTATAGACTCTATACAAAATAATTGATTAATTATAATTAATGAATCTAAAATTAAATATAAATCAATGAAAGTATTTTATTTATTTAGTTTATCATTGTAAAATCTTGACAGTAATTGTGTTTTGTTTTAAGTCACTTTTAATTATTAATGTTTAAAAAAATTATTTGTCCATTAGATTTAACTGACATTTATTAATTATTAAATAGCATGATTTTAATGATTATGTAATTAATCAAGGACATAAACAATTCATCAAAAATAATTAACTGTAGACATAACATGATTTAAAACATACACAAAATTAATTAATTTTACAAGATTAAAATGAGAATAACTAATCTGCCGCGCGGCAAGTGCCTCGCTAGAAAGCGCCTCGCTTAGAATTTTCCACTAATTTGCAAATATTAAAATTTTTAAATATGCATATTAATTAAATTTTGTAATAATCTAATTATATTTGTATTGAAAAATTTTACATCTAAATTTTTAATTTAATAAAAAAATTTAAATATTTTTATTTTACAAATTTTATTACAAATATAATTAGATTATTACAAAATCAAATTAATATGCATATTTAAAAATTTTAATATTTGCAATGTAGTGGAAAATTCCAAGCGAGGCGCTTTCTAGCGAGGCACTTGCCGCGCGGCAGATTAGTCATTCTCGATTAAAATAGATTAATGGTACTTCATCAAAAGTGCCTTAAATATTTGTTTAAGAACTAATGTTAATTCCGATTATACCAATATTTGATTATCTATTGATAAATGACAATTGACAAATTGACCAATACATAATTGTTTAGTGTTAATTTAAACTGATTAAGATAATAAAGGTTTAAAAGTATATAAAATGTATATAAATTAATTATTAAACTAATTTTTTAACATTCAACTTTTACTATTTATATAAATTATAATTATTTCATAAGCAAGGTAATCATGTTTTTAGCGGTAGTGTTCATACTATCGCTAATAGTTTTAACAATAGTCCTATTGTGGCAAAAATGGACGTTTTGGAAACGACAGGGAATACCGACCGACTGGTCGGCCAGAAGTGATCAACTCTTTCATATCGCGGACAACGAGTGCCACAGAATACACGGCAAAGTTGTCGGGTATTTGACTATTAGTTACTATCATATTGTATTACTAATTATGTATTTACTATTACTATATCATTAGTTTTTACGAGGGTTTGAGGCCATGTCTGTCGATAACTGACCCCGATCTTATACGAAAAGTATTGGTCACCAATTTTCACCATTTCCCAAATTACA